AGCACTGCAGTACCTCCCCCATGATTCATCCTTTTGGGAGGGAGATAATTAAGATGAGAAATTAAACCAAAATAAGATTCCCTTAAGCATAATTTAACCCCAAATTGTTGCCAAGAATGTGACAAGGAAATGGTAAGCATAGGCTGACATATATTTTTAATTCTTCTTAGAATGTCTTCTAATCTTGTGAAAAAAATGGCTATTCACCATTTCTTCCTACTTTTTGATACTCTGGGGATTCTTCCATTTTTTGTTCTTCCCAGCCTTTCATTGCCAGTAGAAGCACTGGCTAATCAAAATGCAGTTGTCAGGGTTTCTGCATCTTGGTATAGCCCTCATAGCTCATGGTGAACTCCAGCTCACAGAAACATTAAAGCACAAGGCTCCATTACCATGTGCCCTGAGTGTAGGTTTATTAGCTTTAAGTATGGGCTTAAACTCCTCTAAAACCAACAAGACACAAACACATATTAAAATGCTTTGCTAGGTCAGAGAAGCCTGCTGAACTGGGTCCTGTTTACAGACTGTTGGAACAGACTGTGCCTGGCTATTGAGCATCACAGAAGAGGAGATGCACAGATGTAAATCCATCTGTAAAATTTGGAGGATGATTAAACATTGTCTCCCCATAATGAGCCAGCCTTGTACTTAATGATCATGGTGGTGAAAACAAACCTAACACACCATTTCATCTGGTAATTTTGCACGTCTTACTGGAATAGATTTTATGACTGTGTCACGTCTGATAAAAAAATGATGTCCAAAATGCAAAATTCCAACTAAAAAATGTGATTATGACTGATGGATGCGAAGAAGCAATGGGTGAAAAAAAGTTTTTAGGGGTTATGGGTTCTGTAATGAGATCCAAAGAGGAAAGAGATGCATATGGCATCTGAAACATATTTTATGTTATGAGTTGTTCAAAGGCACATATGTTTCCCCTTTGTGAGAGAAAGTTGGCTTGTGTCTTCACTGAACTTCAAGGGTTTTACTATTATTCCTAATTATGCTACTTTTTCTGATGACCTAATCAAACAGAAAAAGTAAATCATACCTCTGACTTTTAGCAAAGCCATAAAATGCCTGTGTCCTTGAATTTAATACTTCGTAATTGCCAGTTGTTCCCCAAAATAATTACGTTGTAGATTTATTTTTATAGCCTGAAGTTCTGTTCTAGGACAATTTCACCTCTTGAAGTTGATGTAGCTGTTTTAGGAGAATTTTTAATAAGGATAGCTACTGTCGAATTATAAAAGATTTCATATGTGACAGTGGACCATTCTGTTCTCTGATGCAGCCTGAGAAGTCAGAGAAGATATAGAACAGATTAACTTGATTTAGGATATTTGAATACTAACATAGTGGAGTATCTGGGATTACCTTGTTTCTTTTAATATTTGGAAATAAAAAATGTTATAAAGAACATGAGAAATATCTACTAGATAACTACATTTCTCTAGATCATTGGACCCTTAAAGTAGCCTTGAGTAAAAGAGATTTTACAAATATCTGTCCTGTTCACTGATCATGTATTAAACGCCACACTGATTTAAAGCCTTTATAAATGTACTCATTTATTATTCAGTGTTTTCAGTGGATTTCTAAAGCTCCTAACAGTGCTTTGATTTGTTTTGATAAGTTGTTTCATGATATCCAGGTACCATCTTATTTTTTCCTTATGTGAGATTCTGTGATCTGTCTTCAGATAGCAAAATATTGTCTCTGCTCAATTCAGAAGTAGCTGCCTCCTTTTCCTGGGCCCGAGGCTTAGGTAATATTTAGTAACTCGTTAAGTTATATGACCTAAATACTTTAATCAGTTATTTAGCTTAGATTTGTCTAGCGAAACAGCAGCTCATAGAGCACACTATCACAGGCATTGGCTAGATGAGACTAAATACCCTACTGCAAAGCTGAAAGCCTGTCTCCATTCTCCCTGAAGCAGTGAAGGGCTGAGCCCCAGGAGTGAGAAGCTGGGGCAGGTGGAGATGGCCGTGCTGGCTGGCTTTGATGACTGGCAGCCACACGTGTGATACATCCTGCCGGCAGCCCTGCCAGCAGCCCCACCAGCCCTTGCTGCTCATGCTGCGGACACCAGGAATGGCACAGTGAAAGGTGGTTAGGGCACTCGTGTGGCCATCACCTCCCAGCAGCATACAGCGTATTTTCAGATAACTTTGATGGAAAAGGAACATTTCACTGATTTCAGCAGTACACAGACTTCTCTGAAGCAACAGCAGTAAGTGTACAGATTTTGGGGTCTGGTGTTGTTTCAGAAAAGTCTCAGCTGGCAAATCTACCCCAGAAAGCGCTACAGCAAGCTACCAACCCCAAACTTTAATATACCTCCATTCAGGAATTAAACAGACCAGTATATGTTGCTGTCAGTCAGAAGAAAGTAATGTGGTGTTTCCTCAGAGTATCTACTTGTACGGAAGGGAGCTCTGTCTGTTTGTCTTGTAGTCCTCTGGGACACAATGGAGCAATATCAGAGGGAAATTACTGAGACTAGTTTTGATCCCTGTGGCCTTGTCTAGTAACATTAGGAAGCTAAAAAAATAAATAAATAACAACCAAGTCCATGCAATTAAGTGAAATGATCACTTCTCAATTATTTAAAATGGTGCATTTGCTAGTGAGCTTCATGAGAAATGAGCAACTGTAGGAGCTGCTCAGAGCTTGAGTAGGAAAACATTAAGTCCAAGATAATACAAGATAATAGAATGTTCCTTTAAAACAATGGCAAGTACCATGTACTCTTGAAATAGCAATTCCTTGCAGTGTTTATAAAGGTTACTTTAAATGACCTCTGCTAATTTTGTTTAGGTTTATAGCGACCTAGGTTACAGCTGTTCCATGTTTAATCACTTGCAAGAATAATAGCAGTTTTCAGACAGTGGGGAAGTATTGAATGAACTGCTTAATTTCACCAGTTTCTGTGTTCTTATGGAATCTGTCTTCATCTTTCCTTTGGTCTACTTAAGCAAGTGTGGCTTACTGGTCACTGAATATTTTTATCTCATAATAAGCAATGTTGTTGTTCTGCCTGGTGCTGTACTTCTTGCTACATAGCTTACTAATTTTGTTTTTTACAACATTTTTTCTTTTATTTTTAGTGGATAACTTTGGAAAGAATTTGTTTTATATAGTATAAAAAGAAAACTGATTTGAGGCATAGAAACTAAAAAGAAACCTATGACCTTTGTGTGCATAGTCAGGATCCAAGTCCTTAATTAGTAATGCTTTACAAGCATATATAAATGTAAGCCCAAGAGGTGAGAAAAGAGCCATGCTATATGCAGAGTTCCTATGTATAATTATATAATTCAAAAAAGCACAACCCCCAATATACTAAGGGTAAAATTGTTCAGTGTTGGCATAGAATTTTTCAGCAGTGGAGTTCAAAGTGCAGTGTTTCTTGGTTCTAGCTAATTACTACTCTTGAAAGCTCCCTCTAAATTGGAAGGGGAAAACAAAAGGATTAGATATTCACATTTGAACAAAAGACCTCTTTTTCATATGTTTCTGTAAAGATCAGGGCAGAATAGCTAAAGCACATTGGGACTATAAGACCTGACCCAAAGTTAGCAATTATTTCTGATTTTCCTGCTGGATATTTTTATTCTAGTGTTTAACAGTCTTCATCTTACAGCTGAAATTAGTGATGCTCTTGACTAGCTCTTGCATCTGAACTTGCATCAGAATTAAGTTTTTGTGACTGTTAATCTGCTAGATCAGTCTGTGTGTACTTCCAAGACAGCCATTCATTTCATTCTTACACAGAAGTACTTGGCTACTCACCCTTGTGGCTGGGTGATCCTAAGCATTTTGTTTATTTTTCAGTATATCTTTGCTCTTTGAGTTATAGAATGACAAGAACATCAAAATGCAGTGGGAGGTAATGAATGATAGTCAATATTATCATAATCTCATAAGCAGGGGAGACATGGTAAAGCAGTTGCATAAAATCTGGACTACTGCCCACCTTGAAGTGACTTTCACCAAACCATTTCATTTTCTAGTCCCACATATTCTTAGTGAAATGTGCAGTGATGCTGACAAGCTTTGTAAAATAGTTTAAAATCAGCTGGTGAATAGTGTACTCCTATATGCAGAATAGCATTTTCAGTATATGATGCTGCAGAAGACGTGGGGACATTTTGCTTGTCTTTCCTAGGATTCAAATTGCTTCAGACTTGAGGGTCTTTCTTAATATGCTAAAACCAGGTTTTAAAGTCCAGTATCCTATTAGGTGTCCCATTCAGTGCATATTCACATTCATACAATATTTTCATTCTCATCCTCATCCTTTGTACAAAATAAAATGAAAATATAATGGTATTCCTTCAACGTTATTTCCAGCCATCTGCTTTCTGTTCCCTCTCCTCACTTAAAAGCTCAGACTCCATTCTGCTTGAAAATCAGATTAGAGCCCTGGGTATTCATTTGGTCCCTTACACACACATTCCAAATAGATGAAAGGAATACCAGTAGCAACTAGGTGTGCATATTTCCTCAGTGTGGTTTGTCTCATCAGAGGTCTCCTCTTGAGGTTTATGGCTCAGGGCTCTTAAATGTCAAAATGATGGCATGAAAGAGGAGAGGCCAGTGAGGTTAGGATGTGAGCAGAAAAAGGCTTATTTAGGGATTGCATTGGGCTGGAGACTGTTCCCGATGGGATATTGAAATTTGGGTTCCTCCTTGGTAAAGAATTTACAGTGCGGGATTTTAAGGTCCCTTTCTAATTTAATTTTAATTGAAATACATCTGGAGGCAGATGCTGAAATAAAAGCATTTCTGAGACATCCTGAGAGCAGGGAGCTTGACCAACTTACTCCCCTGCTGATCATGCTCCCAGAGTAAACAGGACTTATAATGTCATCCTGTATTAAGGGTCAACATGAGCCCAATCATGTGCAGGCAGAGAGAGTGGTTGTAAGTTACCACACTCGCATGCTCCAAAAGAGTACCAGAATCAAGAATGCGTCAGTGTACGAGGATCATTCAAACCCATCTGATTTTATTATACATGTAGACAGAGCATTAAGGTCAAATCTTCTGCATGAACATAATCCAAAGGTTTGGGTAAGTATCACATTCTTCAGTCTCTGCAATCTGAAAGAACAAATAAAAAAGCAACTACAGGGATTACAAATAAATCACACTGGCCTCTTTATTCTAAAGTCCATTTAGCTGGATATGTATTAGAATTAAAAACTGCAGTAACGATTCCTCAGCTTATCTAGAAAACTATTTCACTTGACTAGATCAATGAATAAAGTTGATTAATTGCCAAAGCTGCTAAATTTAGCACAAGCCACATATTACTTTCTCTTTTTTGGGTATATCCTATGGCTAAAAGCGGATTTTGTAAATCCTACACTGAGATTAATCATGGGTTGTGTTCAAAGAGAAAACAGAGCCCTGAAATTACAGATTTGGGGAAAAAATGTGTCCTGTGTTCATTCATTAAATCTTACGCTATTTTGTATTAGGAATAGTCCACAACTAAATAAGTCTTGCTTTTGTTATAAGTAACAGTGCTTTCTTCACCTTTATTTGAATAGTTTACATAAGGTGTTTGTTTATATCTCCAGGAAGACATGCCTGAATCTAAACCAAGTTCCATCTAATAACACATGTTGACTGAGCTTTCAGGGGTCTGAACAGAAAAGCCTAAGGATGAAATCTCTCATGAAAACTCAAATAATCTTGGACAAATAGTACACATATGATATTTACACATGGAACTGTTTAGGTTTGTCGTATTTTGGGAGACAGATTTTTTATTTCCTTTTTTGTCAAATCCTTTTTCATCATACTGTCTTTTCTTTCCATTTTCAGGGAGTTATCTCTGGCTCTCTCAGTTCCATGTATTCAGTGAGCCGTGCATCTCACAGAGTGATATTAGAGCTCCTGAGAGAGTTTTTTCTGTTAATATCATCCACCACTCAGTCGTTCCTATCATTCATATTCTAACCATTCTAATTCATATTGGTCCTCTCCTTAATCTTCCTATCCCTCAAAAGCAGTACTAGATACTTTCTCAGATTAAAATAACTAAGATAGATACGTAGATGTGGGTTTTTTTCACCTAGTGCTCTGACCATTCTTCACTGTTCAGTTCCAAAACAAAATAGAAATTGCCAGTGAAAAAGCAAAATCTGGTGCAAGTACTGACTTTCTGAAGAAGTTACATCTTTCTTTATATTTGTGAACACATTATTTAATGTATTACGTGCAAACATGTAAGTATATTCAAGAGCATGCGTACTCACACATATACCTTTTTATCTCCTTAAAAAGGATGGTTAGAGATCACTTTTATATATAAACCTGTATACATACGCACAGCTATACATGTATGCATGTTGAATCATTTTCATGATTCAATCTTTATAAGGCTGTGAGTAGTACCAGCTGAATGCTTTTCCAGTACAGTCCCAGATGTGATCCAGTAATAATTTAGCCAGTGTTAATATACAGTTTTGGGATGCAATACAATGCAGCAACAAAAAGCTTGATGTAATTTAATGTAATAGAGTCATGGGCAAGATTTTGTTTTGTAACCCTCAGAAGACACAGGTTTAGCATCTTCAGGAATACACAGTTCTCTGCACCCCAGATGGCACTGTAACAAAGCCACTCCTCCCAACCAAGAGCCCGCTGGCCACAGCAGCAACCCAGAGTAGCTGGTAGAAAAGAGTCCAGATCCTCTTCTTCCTTTGGCACATTCTCAGATTTATGTTCTCCTGGTGTTTTCCTGGACGACCGATCAGTTGTGTTTTGAGTTCCTTCTCAGTGGTAAACAACCATATGAAGAGGGGATTAAGCAGAGAATCAAGGTTCTCATTGTTATTAGCACTTACATACACCAGGGAGATGTTTTATGGAAACTTTACCCAATAATTGCTGTCCCATCTTCCCCAGGTGACATGCATGTTCTAATTAAACACAACTGTTGTTACAGTAGCTGCAGTGAGTCTGTCAGCCTGAAGTTAGCAGGTAGGAAGAAAACCATATTTCTGTTGTAAACTTCAGGAGAATCTAAGAAGACAGTAAATAAATGGTAGGATAAAAAGATTAAAAGCAGTGTATTTGATGATTGGAATTTGGTGTAGTTATTCCTGTTGTCTGTCTTTTATTGATGGAGAATATCATACATAAGTTAGCTAAATTCAGTGTCTTATTTCTTTATAGTCTTGGAGCTGCAAAGGAGAAAAAACAAAACCAAAATAAAATATTTCTCAAACAGAAACAAGAATTATTTGTATTTGTAGTAAAAACAGTCCTGGTAGGAAATTATGGTATATATCAAACATAGAAATACTCTTCTTTCCGTCCAACCAGGAATAAAAAACAACAGGAGCAACTCATTTTGTCTGTAATAGCTCTTCTTAGTGCATACTTCCTGAAAAATGATGCTGCTTTTCCTCATATCCATTTCTCTAGTTATAATAATCTTTCAAATATGTTGTTTATTGTCCTACTTCCTCCTATTGCTTCAGCTGTATATTAGACAGCTTTGTTGGCATGATGGTAAGATTTCAAACTTTCAGTTGATGATCATTGTAAGTTTCATTTTTGTTTTATGTAAGTAGTTAAATTAAATAGGAGGGCTAGAAACAGAGATAAAACTCAGTCTCCAAGTACATTAATAATTCTGTAGGAGTTTTGCAAACCTCATACTGAGGCCTATAAGAGATTTTTCTCAGGGAAGACTTTAAGACTTAACATTTATTTAATATGTGGTAGCTGAGGTTTGGAGACGAATAACATAAAAAAATATCTGTTTCAAGAAAATAACCCAAATAAACTATTTACCTCATGAATGAAAAAAACCCAAAACCACAAAAAGCCCAAAAACAAAACCCAGAGGAAATTGTTAAGGAGCCAGAGTCCTGTTGGCTGCAGTATTTGATTATGTCTCTGATAAATATATTATTGAAGACAGTCTGTGAATGTCAGAAGCAAATCACAGCTTGTCCACTCCCAGTAGGATTAAAGAGATCAGAAAGAAGAATCTCAGAGGAAGGTAAGATTTTGAAAACCACCCCCTGTGGTTTCATCAGTCATGCGTATGTGAGGGGCAGTTTGCCATGCCCTGAATCACCTTTCTCCAGGAGCCCTAAACACTTCTGTAGTCCACCAGAGCCAGGCGAGTGGTCCCTGGCATGCAGCCTCAGGGGTCGCAGGAGCCTTGCCTAGGGACTGGCAGGGTGAGTGGCACCTGCCCTCGGGAACCAGCATCAGGTAGCCTCATGGGATGATGGAGGAACAAAGCAGGGACTGCCTGTTCCTTTTGCAGTTGTAGCCATATGGCATGGTTTGTTCGCCTCATAGCGATTAGCATCTCTGTTTGATGACATTGTGGTACTGCTCAGGTCGTTAAATATGTTGGGACAGATTTTGCTTTAGGGGGAGTATGTGAATTCCTCCCTTACTGTGTGGCACTTCTCAGTATCCCGGCCAAAGGTGGAGCATGTGGATAACCACATAAAGAGGAATATCCGACAAAACTGTGGTTTGAACCTGTCAGAGCTGTAAGGCTGCATGTGTAAAGCCTGCTTGGGCTGGATGTTGTATCATGCAGTGTGCTTTTGTGCTAGCTGACAGCAGCCTTGATGACAGCAAAACAGGAAAGCACTCTGCAGCACACACTCAATATATGTGTGAACTTGACCCTGGCCTTTTGTTCTGAGTTCCATTCATTCTAATCAAAATGATAAAATAACAAAGAAAGAGCAAGTATTACATACCAGAAACCAATGGGCGTATATGCTGATAGAAATTTGGAGGAGTTGTATGTCATAATGACATGCTGCTGTAAAACTACTCAGTGATACAGCAGAGATGGTTCATATCGTTAGCATTTACAGACTTATCAGGGAGAATCCTTATTCTTCTGCATCATAGATGTTATTAAATTAAGTGCTTGCTTGCTTCATTATTAATGCAAGCGTTTTTGCATTCATAGCCTGTTCCATAATCTTTTTATATAGAAATATACATTTGTACATCTTTATATATGCGTATATATTTGTACATATATATACGCATGTATGCATGCAGATATGTAGATATATTTGTACATCTTTCTATATGTGGATATGATGATGATGGCTTGGCTTCACAAACAAAGATTTGGGAAGGGCTTTACCCACGCTTACTACAAGCACGATGAGCAAGGGCATGTGGGATGTGCAAAACTGGTTGGACAAAAGGCAGCTTAGGCAATCAGAAAGTGTCCGACCAGGACTGACATCTCCTGGGCAATGATGAGCAACCCATGTGCTGGTCCACCCACATGCAAGGTTGGATCTGCAGCTTCCGATGCACCTTGTCACCTGCCGTTTAGACCCTCGCCTGTCCATACAGACAAGTGAGAGTAAGCCCTTGCAGCCTGCACAGTGGATTTTTAGGTGAGGCGCAGCTTGCACAGAACTGGCCCCACCTTTACACCTGAGGTTTAATTGCCACGGCCTAGCTAGGATGGTGATAGCAAAGTCCTCAGGTCATAGGTTTTGTAAGGGTGTTCTTCTCTTTGATGGAAGACCATACAAGGCCAGACGAGCTCCATTAGCCCGGGTTTGAAGATAGGAGTTTTCCTTCCGCTGTGAGGAAGGCCTGTCTTCGCTAACGAAGATTCGGGAAGACCTTTACCCATTCATTCTGAACAAGACTGTCATCTCCTGGGTCAATCACAAGCGACCGATGATGCAACAGCACAACATCAAGCGTCAATGTGTATATATATATGTGTTTTATATATTCCATCATATATAATATTATATATAGTGTATATAATAATTTGCAAAATTGATGCACTATTTATGTTGTAGTGCTATTATATGCATAATATTCATAGGTATTTTGTTTCTGAGAGAAGTAAACCACTGCAATGCTAAAAACTTGTATAAAATATCATATGAGTTGCAAAACCAGTGACCAGATGTTACTTGCATATAGCTGTACTCTAGAGGTATTTCAAGGAACAGTACTAGTAAATGCAGTTCAGCTGGTTAGAAAGGTGGACAAGAGCTTTTGTTGTAGGAACAACTGGCAGATGGTTAGTAGAAGGATTTTGCTTTAATGGCCTGACACGTTCCTGCTGT